ATATATGAAAATTTTGGTTGATAGCTTATGACCGATGCCTTGGAACATCTAGTTCCAATTGCTACTATCAATGTCGGGTGGGTCTAGTGTGTTGGGTGACGGGGATTTATTTGTTTGTTTGTTTGGTGAACAAAGTGTGTTAAGAGGGGAAATTATCTTCTGGGGTCGGTAAAAAAGAAAAGATGAACATTTTGATTTTGACCCACAAGGCTTGGTTTGGTTTGTGCCCTTACTGCACCTTGCGGATGTGTTTGGTATCTAGACAGGTGGGACAGGACAGAGCAACTGTTCTGTGTTTTGTAAGACGTAATTGGACAGAACAGATAAAATGACCAATTTACCCCCAATGAATTATTTATATCTTTTATTTATTTCAATTAATTTATATAATTTTATTAAATTATAATAAAATAATATTTTTATAACAAAATATATCATTAGAAAGTTTTCATAAAGACAATTAAAATGACACCAAAATAACAAGTTTATGTAGTTTCCAATTTTTATTTTATACCTTCCCTATATTATTAATATTTAATGAAATTACATTTTAACCAAAATATAGAAGCCGTATAAAAAAATGTTTTTGAGGACGACATAGTGAAAGTTTAAGAAGTATAAAATACAATAAATAAAATTTAAAGAATGAATAAAATGTAAAGAGGGAGGCGTATTTGATGTTTCAGAAGAGAATTAAATATTATTTTGAGGGTATATTGGTAAAATATAGGTATGTTCCACATAAAACTCCTTCCAATCGTGGACAATGATCCTTGTTCTATATTGTCCTGTCCACTATACCAAACACCCACGGTCTGTATACATGCTTATTTCTATCATCTCTGTGTCCGTCGAGGATGATGCCATTTTGAGTTGTATTACGTATTACAATGAAAAAAAATTAGCCGGTTTGTCATAGTTTAGTTTATTTCTGGATTAATTTTCAAGAATAAAATTACAACTTTTTCTTTCAGAAAACATTGTTTCAACAAGTCATATATTAAGGTCCTTTCATCTTCACATACCGTTTCTTGTTGGAAAGTATGCATTCTTCAGTAATACACCTAGTAATTGTTTCAACACCTTCATTCTTGTGTGGTGATTGATGCCTGCTTGATTGCAAATTACAGGAACATACAGAAAATGCAGTTGATGGAGCATGTTCGACTTTGTTTATTGCAAATTTAGGCCCCAATTGCACAGAAGATGAGTTAAAACCTGTTCTTTCTCGGTAAGTTTAGTCAGATATTGCCGATTTTTTTAAAGTTTGTCGGTAATTTTTGTTTTGGTATAAACATTCAATCTAGATGTTATACTGTTTTCTGGGGTCTTTATGGAAACAACTGCTCTACCCTTCCGGGCAGAAGTCAGGTCTGCTTACATCTTACTCCTCCCAGACACTCCTTTCAAGCAGGATAATTGGGTTTCTTTGGTTTGGTTTTGGTGACGACCTCTATGCATTTTGGTTATAGATACCCAGGATTTAACACACTCAAGGTGCGTAATAGAGGTGGAATGCCCGTTGCATTTGCCGATTATGAGGTAAATTTAACCGTGGTAAACTTTTCTATCTTCGGTTCCAATTGAATTGTTGATGTTTACCTTACATATTTTATTTTCGACCTCTTTTAAGCAAGCCAGTGGTGTTGATATAAGGAACTACTATCATTTTTTTCAAATGATCAACAAGTTGATGCATTGGTGTGTCTTAAGGCCATATTTGGCAACCATAAGCTAGCTTATTTTTTGAGCTTATTGAAAAAGCCTTATAAGCTAGGTTTTTGAAAAAAGCCACTTCAACTAACGTTTCAATAAGCTCGGATTTTTTTCCTACTTTTTTTAACATATCCTTTTATGTTGTATAAGCTAGTTATTACCACACATGACTAGTTTATCAACTAGCTTATCAACCAACAACTAGCTTTTCAGCTGTTTTTTTTTGTTAACCATGGGCGTTCGGGCTAGTTTGTGCACACGTTGACTAATCCAAGGTCCCATGAAGAACAGCCAAGAAAATTCTCAGGGGTCTTGCAAACTCGAACCGATGACCTCTCAGGAAAATCCCCAAAGGTCCAAGACTTATTGTCAGTTGAGCTAATAAAAACCGGTTTGCAACCTTGATAGATTTGAACCGAAGATTATAGAGGTCCTTTATTTTGTATCCAGTTTTTGTAGGGCACCCGTTACTTAACCATGTTGTTCGGTTCTTATTGGCAGGAGGTGGAACAAGCTACCGAGGTCATGAACGCCCTTCAGGGAAGCACCCTACCATCATCGGACCGTGGAGGCATGCATATAGAGTAAGTTTCATTTCATCTTTCTTGATGTTGATAACTCCATTCAACCCAAATAATGGGGCATTTACTTTTGGTTTGTTCTAAAATAAGTATCCACCTACAAAAGTAAGTGTTTATTAACCCATTTTACCATTTTGTCCCTTAATTAAAAATGGTAATAATTATGCATTACTGAAACTGCCTTTTTCATTATGGACATTTATTTTGGGATGGATGGAGGATTTTGGAGGGAAACGGTAAAGAGGTGAAGTACAAGAAAAATTATTTAAATATTGACCTAGGGTCTTCACATAAACAACCGTTGCACTCTGTGGTAGAGATTAGGTCTACTGTGGGTGGCTATACTAAGGCTCCAGAGGCGGACACAAATCATTTTAAGTGGTGACACAATTTAACTATAAAAACATATCTAAAAACAATGAGTATAGATTTGTTGGTTAGTTCCTTGTCTCTCCATAGAATAAACACCAAAATTTAAAGCTAAAAATTAACAAATTTAGCACTAGTGAGAGTCAAACTCGTGCCTTTTGTACAGAAGGTAGAGGCATCAACCATCTCCACCATCAGTCTTGTGCTTAAATTTCAGTTTGAAAAACTATATGGTGGCACCCTTCATAACGTACATTTTCCCCTTGACAAAACCATGAAGCGGTGGTCCGTGCCAACAATATAGTCCCGCCGCTGGTGGGCTCGGTTCTTTTTGTTTGGTTGGTTTAGTTTATTATTCCCTAATCTTGTGTGCTCTTTGTAGGTATGCAAGATCAAAAATGAGGAAGCGATGAGACATCAAGAGTATGTCCGCAAAACCTTAGTGTAGAAAAAAAAGGATAGATTTGTAGGAGAAATGCATGCAATGTAACTTGCTTTCTGCTCCTGGTTTATCCCAGAAGGATTCTGTTAATGACCTCGAGTGTAAAGTTGTTATTGTAGCATATTGACAACCAAACCTCAAGATGCATTAAATCAGCAAGTGAACTACTTGGCGTTAACTACTATAATGTCATTTTGTATCAAAAGGATCATTATGGCTAGAAAATCCTAAAAAGACATTATACATAACATGAACATTGGCATTCGTCACCAAAGGGTCTTATGAGGTCAATGGTTCAAATCTCATCAAAGATGAGGAGAGGGTGTGAGTCTATTTGTTCTTTTTGTTGTATATAAATATTATATTCTTTTAAAAAAACACGAATCTCTATTTTCTTATTTTGGAGTCTATTACAAGTTGTTAGATATTCTCAAATAGATTATCTATATTAGAGATTCTATCGTTACTTATATTATTAAAATATTTAATAAAATATTATTTTCTTTACATAAAACATATATTTTCAATTTCTCCTATTGTTAGAAAATATTCTCTCAAGAGTTTTATAGAATTCATTAAATTTATAGATTTCCACTTTCTTTTTCTTTTTTTCATTTTATTCTCTATTTTAACATACATTATAACATAACTTACTAAAACATCTTCTAAATCTCCAAAACCTCATATCTATTGGAGATTCACTTTTAGCGAAAATGTAGGCATTACAAGTAACTATACAAAACTTTAATTCTTAACTTGAATTTTATATGTATTTTACTAATTTTTAATTGATTTAAAAAGATATAATAAAAATTAATAGTAAAAAAGTGAAAGGGACCCAAAAAAAAAGGTTCTTACATTATCAAGTCTTATTGAGGTTTTTGATTTATCATTTTGTGGCGTTGACAATAATTATGCAAAAGAAAATACAAAATATGGGTTCTTATAATGTTGTTTTGGTATAATGTTGATATAAAAGATCTAAACAATAACTCATAGTTGTTTTAGTAAAAATTGATTATTATGAAACAAACATTTTAAACATATTTTAAAATTATTACATAGAAATTTTACGGAATCTCATGTAGTAGGATTTCAATAAAATTTTGGAATTTCAAATCCAAACTAATCCTTCAAATCAAACATAGGATTGGAATAGAACTCAATTCCAAATCCTATCAAACTCCGCAAGCGAAAACGGGTACCAAAGCGTATGTGCAGTCTCATTTTGCTTCATATGAGGAGATGAAAATGGAAAAGAAAATGACCACAAGAAACTACTTCCAACATGATTTGTTTGGTTCCATTATATAAAAATGCATTCACCAGAGATATAATTACATAACATTATAAACCTATAGATTAAGAGTGAAGTAAAAAAACCATTGCCTCTGAAAATATGGAGATTTTCTTCTTCTTGCAAGTGGATCATTTGCTTGTGTCATCTGGTTCTAGCTTCTACCTCTATCTGCATCCCAATTTGAGATGGGTCTGATTGAGTCCAAAGAAAGCTTCTCACTGAATGTGTTACTCAAAGGAGAGCTTTTGTATTGTGGCTGATAGATCCAGCTTCCCTTGCCCATTTCGTGCCCCGGTGTTGTTGAAACTTGACTCGATTCCATCATCATGTCACCCTCTAGTATGCGTAGAACCTTTGCAACATAAAACATTTAAAAAGCAAAGCAAACAAGTAATAGGTAAGCGTTAACCGAAGAGTACGTTCGGTTCGGATAAGTGCCAACTGAAATTGGCTGTTTAGTGAGCATCTTATAGCAAGTGCTTACTGATAAAACACATTTATCATCACCCGGTATGTGAAATAATAATGCTGACAGAGTAGGTCACAAGTGTTTGGTTAGCATCGCTAGAACTCTCCAACAGATTCTCCAAAAAAATTCTAAAAGGGAGAACTAAACTCAAATTCTCTAAAAAAGAATTACATTCGTATCCAACAGATTCGCTATTCCCGATGGAGGATCTTCTATTAATAGAATATCGAAAAAGAAGACTTTTGGAGACTAAAAAATTAATTATATTATTAAATAATTTGTATATATAATAAAATGCTATTCCTCTCTCATTGTAATCATTTTGGATAAATTTACACTCTCATGTTTTCTCCATTTGGATAAAGTTTTGGAGAATCTGATGGGATGATCTTAGTCAAATTAGTCTTTAGGTAAACTAGCTGATCGGTCAGCAGGTCAGGAGCAGAAATGCATCAACACAAGTAAAGTGACACCCTTTTTTGGTATTTTGGAAAGTATAAGAACATCTCCAATAGCTATGCTATTTTAGAAATTTGGGGCAAGCTTGCTCCAAGAGCTGATGCTAAACTCTCCTCTAAAATAGAGAAAAAAACAAGGAGAGAGACCGGAGAAATCTCCAAATTTGGAAGAATAGATAATAAAAAAAATATAGCATAGATGTTGGAGATGGGTTTTGAAATGGAAGTCATCCTCAAATCCAGAGGTTTGTAATTCTGAAGTTCGGTTGCAATTCAATTTAAATATGAAAAAAGGTGCTTCTGAATGAAGAATAACCTGTGACATGCGAGGCCGTAAGTGAGGATCCCTTTTGATGCATAGAGACGCCGCTTGCAACATGCAACGAACCTCATGTTCTGAATAACAGTTTCCGAGGTGAGGGTCAATTAACTCGTCAATGGCATCTTCTTGCAACAAGGGCCGTGCCTACCAGCAAACAATGGGAGCACAAAATCATGAGCAAACTTTTCTGAAGGGCCAAAACCCGTTCATCATGGGTGTGTTTGGTACAACTACAAATTGCCCCATGTATGGTATGACAATTAGACTAGGTCCAGACAAGACTTGCCCCATGTTTAGTGTGATAATTTAGATTAATTTCTAACTTACCCGTATCAAATTAAAACACTAAAACCTTCCACAATTTTTTCACCCGCTATGTTACTCTTGTAAATCCAGTCCACTCATGCTTGTGTACCAAGCACACCCTAGGTGTTTAATTAATAATTAAAATTGAATCCATGATCCACATAGCATCTCCAATAGAATTCCCAAAATTTTCTTAAAAATGGAGTGTCAAAAATCAAGAAATCTCCAAAAAGATCTCAATATATTAGTTGTATTATTAAAATATTCAATACATTTAATAAAATATTATTTCTCTCGTAGATATTTAATTTTAAAGACTCTTACTGGTAGGAATAATGAAATAAAATATCTGACTTAACGAAAATCACTTCTTGGGAGTTCTCTAAACTCTCCTACTTTGTCCATTTTGAAGAATCTGTTGGTGCAAAAAAAAATCACAAAATCTCTATTTTCTCCATTTTGGAGACATGTTGGAGATGCTCTCCGGGGTTTTCGCTAAGGTCATCTCTGCAACTTCAACTACAAATGCTGTCTCTTAGGGCCGTCTACTAAACGCTTACTCGATAAGTGCTTACTACCTTACCAGTAAGAACGATGATAAAGACGGAGAATCTTACCCGGTAAGTGAGGGTGATGACTCTTACCTGCTACGCGCTTATTACCTGGTAAAGTAAGTTACCATTAACTCTTATTGGTAAGCACTTATCAGACAAGTGTTTAGTAAACGGCCCCTTAGTTTAAATTGTGTTACTCTCTTCAAGCACTTCAAAGGACACTTGAGACTTACCCATTCTGTTAGGCATTGTTGGCCTTTAGGCCTATTAAGGTCCACAGCTTTCCGTCCAGTAACAAGCTCGACTAGTACAACCCCGAAGGAATATACGTCAGCTTTTTCAGTAATCTGACCACTTTCGGCATATTCTGGAGCCAGATATCTAAACCAAATACATTTTATCTCATTCACAAATCACAATGTCATGAAGATAATACAAAGGAAACAAGAGCAATGTTTGAAGGCTTACCCAAATGTTCCAATTACTCTTGTTGCTTCTCCGGTGCCTCCATCAGGCTGCCACCTTGCTAGCCCAAAGTCGCCAACCTTGGAAACAAAATAAATGGTGTTTTTTTAAGTTCAAGCTAAATAAGCAAACATCCAAAGCATTTTCTGAAGGAAATAAACCATGTTTGAAACGAAACGAAAATCTTCCAAGTTCATTACAGTTCCAAGTTTTACTAAAGGGTCATTGGTCCAGAGGTGTCAGTGTCAGAGTTACATATAGATCCCAACCTCCGTGGAGGTCAAGGGTCTAGGGTGTGTGAGTTGTGCCGTATATAAAATATTATATACTTAGAAAAGAACGTTTTCAGATTTTGAATGCCAAGATTGGTATAAAAATCCAAAAAGAAAGGTGATGATCAAGTTTAAACAAAGGAGGGAAAAGGTAAAAGGTAAGAGCATCTCCTCCAATAGATTCTTTAAAATGGAGATTTTAGGGATTTTGCTCCAACATATTCCCAAGAACTTCTCTAAAATGGAGAAAATAAGAGAGAGGAGGTGAAATTCTCCAAAATTTGAAGAACTTTCCAAAAATGATTACCTATGAAAAGAGAAATTAGTTTTTATTCTTCCAACCAATGAGAATCCTTGAAATTAAATATATAGGAAAGAAGTTGAATATTTATATAATTCATATTGTATGAAAGTAATTGAATATTTTAATAATATAATTCATATTGTATTCTCTAAAATGGAGAAGTTAATGGAGATGAATATATATATATATATATATATATATATTAAGATTTTAAACTCTTGATTCTCCATTTTAAAGAATCTGTTGGAGACACTCTAGTATATGATATAACCAAACAAACTATCCCACAAGGGAAGTGGTTGCCTTTTCCCGTTAGCAAAGGTAAATACCAGAGGTTCAAAATCATGGGTGATGAGGATGTTGTTTGGCCGCATGTCACGGTGCACAATGCAGCCTACTCTGCATTCTTCATGAAGATACCTCAGTCCTCGGGCAGCCCCTATAGCAATTTTGTGGCGTGCAGACCACTCTAATCGAACTTGATGATGTCCTAACACACCACAAATTAAGGGGGTGTTTGGTTAGAGCTGTTAAACAGTAATCAATGGGAATGAAAATAAAAGTAACTGTTTGGTTTTATATGATATAATGAGCTCATTCATTCCCTCATAAGTCCAAATTTTCATTTGAGCTCTAATTGTGGGGAATGAACATTCATTCCCATTTTCATTTTCATTCGCTGGTCAGAACCAAGCAGCAGCTAAGTCGATATAAAGTAGCCCTTCAGTTACCAAAATAATAGTAGCAGTTACGCATTAGATCTATTTCTGATGCTAGTTTTATAGTCCAATATTGAAGTCGTATCGTAGATGCACAATCCAATTTGGATTCAGCTGACAGCATACATAGTATATAATTTCATAGTGGTGGTTTAGGACTTACCATAAAGATGAAAATCCAATGATCTGTTGCATACATATTCGTAGACTAGCAATCTCCTTCCATCTTCGACACAAAATCCAATCAACATAACAACATTTCGATGCTGAGCACAGCTCAGCACCTCGACTTCTGAGTAGAATTCTTGATCACCTTGAGAACTTGCCAGTTTGTGTTGCTTGACAGCAACAGCCTGTCCATCAGGAAGTATCCCTCTGTGTACCGACCCAAACCCTCCCTCAGCCAGGAAATTAGCTTTAGAAAATCCTCCGGTAGCAAGCTCGAGCTCGGAATAGGCGAACCACCTTGGTGGTTTTCCAACTATCGGTGCCTTATGCAAACATATTGAGCACAATGGAGGTGGCCCGGAGGGTGTATTCCATGACAAAGATATTGCTTCTCTAACACTCCCACTAAATTCTAAGTCGGTTCTATGGCTTGACATTCCGAGCAAGTCTTTATTTATTGTGGTTTTAGCTTGTGAAGTATATCTTTGTAGACTTTCCTCCCATTCTTGAGAAAGCGGACAACTTGAAGCGATGAGATCAACCATCCATGGTTGAAACCTTAAGCTACAGGAAGATGAGGATAAATTCTCACTTTCGGAGTCTGAACTTGATTCAATAGGATCTTTTTCTTTTCTGGTGAAGGATTCCTCCTTCTGGGAGACATCGGTCACAGGAACAGAAAATGGTGAATTACTCAGATCAGAACTCGAGACTGATGAAGTTCCGACTTCAGTTGCAGTAAATACCTCAGGACTACTTGTTGGAGTAACAACCAGCCCACGAATAGAATCCACTGATGACTTTTTGTTTATTTCTTGCTTTTTAGATGATTGTTCTACCTTGGAAAGCAATGAACAATCTGCTTTAGCTTCCTTATTAGGAGATCGAACTAAATTCAGACGAAGGACTTTTGGCTGTGATTTCTTCATTATGACAACATTGCATTGCAATTCTTCCATACATGACTTCTGTTCGTGTTTTAGCTTTCTACAAACAATATTACACAAAAGATAAAGAAGCATATCACAAAAAAAAAAAAAAAAAGTGAATGCAACTATGTGGGTAAATCTCGCATATATTTGGAAATATTACTTGTCCAAAACAACCCAACTAGCATGAAATTTTTTGGCCTCTGCAGCAACTACTCCACATTGAGAGCCGGAAACAACTTTAATCTTCACATTTACCTAAGAGAAAATTGAAAAATAGTTCTTGGCAATCAGAAAGATGATGGAACTTGGAGCAACTGGTGATCCTGGGTCAAAATGACTCATGTACCTTATTTGGATCATACACATTATTAAGCTGAAGAATCATTTGGGAGCAAGAAGCAGTAACATCGACTTTCTGTTCTGAACTTGTCCCTGAATTAGACTTCCGGTGAACACTGGCACAGTCTCCAGAAAATCGTGGAAACCCCCACAATTTTCTACCTATGAAGATAGAAACAACTAATTACAGTACTGTACCGACCAAAAGTTTGGTTAAAAAAAACTGTCCTACAGCTTTTTTTCCCGATTAACCTAATGATGGTAAGATACGAAAAAACTCAAATCAATTAGTAATGGCTAAAAGAATTTGCACTTATAGGATACAAATGTAATACAACCCTCTGGGATAAGCAGAATCAATATGCAATAAAAGCTTGAATCCTTGACTTTCCCAGTATTTAATATATCATGGATTATAATCGTAGGATAAATCAACAATTATGTGGTCACTGATTTTTTTTGGTAACCGTGGGTTTCTAGGCCAGCTTACTAGCATGGACTAATCCCCGGACGAACACGAATTAACTGTAGTCATCGCAGGTGAACCGCCCACAAGGGTTTTGGGAGTACCTGGTTTTACATCCCCTGGGCCTTAACACAACCCAAGGGGTCACATCTGTTGAAATCAATGAGTTGTTTATAACTCGAGATGGAACAGGATATCATAAAGTCCATAAAACTACCAAGAAGCATTTTACCAGCAGTTTGTGAAGGGCCGACCACAAGCAAAGTAATGCAATGCCCGGGTTGAACCACGTGAGTCAAGGCCCAGACCAAAGCGGTCTTGGGAATTTCCTTAGATGCCTTGACAGCAACAACGACCTTCTCCAGCTTCCCAATGTTTCCTTCTCTACTCATTGAGCCCTACGATAGAAAATAATGATGATTTTAATATATATTATCTACTTGTATAGATTCTACCTAGCAGATGCAAAACACCCATGATTATGATTAATTTCTTCGAAGGGCGAAGGGGGACAAGCTTCTAATGCTTTATATGGAAAATTAACAAGAAACCGAACTCTCGTTATAATGTTCGTGATGCTCTGCCCCCCACGACAAAGTTTAGATTCCACTTCGACGCACAAGCAGACGAATCATGGGTTGTGACGTAACAGTAAATGTATTGAATACCTCCAAAAATGGGGTGAAAACTTTTTTGTTGAGCAATCGATTCCGGAATTGCCAAATGATTATCCAGTAAGAAATATTCTACTATGAAGAACGCTTGAAAAGGACTCCGTCAGCGGATTAGTTTCTACCCAATTTGCTTGAATATTCCAAAACTGCAAAATTGTAAGCAAATGAATCCAAAAGTACCATAGATGAGGAGCTCTCGAGCAGGAAAGTCGACTGTTCGGAGCACATGTGCATGCAAACAAACAAGTACCGTGTTTATAACTTTTGGAGAGGATCAAAAGGAAGAAATTCAGCGGACCTACGCTCATGGCCCCAAATGCACCGTGTCTCAAGAAAATCTGCGATAATCCAGGATCTAACTCTTCTGTTCACACACAGTTATGAATTATGAGCAAATGAGCAGAAACGTAGAAACTGACAAATGTTATCCCATCAAATAATTCATGCAAATGACCTGACTGAAAACAGTGTTCAACAATGTTTTTGCTTATTAAAGCCGAAATGACATGACAATGTCGCTCACAATCATCTCCAAATCCTGCAACGTCCACTATTCATCAAAATTAAACACCAAACAACACAAATCCACTTCAAAATTCACACCGATAAAAAACAACACTACATTCATCTCAACATGCGAGACAGCTCACTTAAATTCAATATACCTAGAATCAAAATACAACAAATAGTTGAAGTGATGGTTCAATATAACAGATGTACAAGCAACCAACAGTTCAACAGTACAGTTTCTCTAACCAATACAACAATAGCATCACATTGCAGTTTCCATATCTTCTTAGAAATCAAGTAAAGTATAAATCATATTTAACTAAAATAGGTTAAAACAAACAGTGTAATGATCTGATTAACTCGTTAAAACAACATCAAGTTCTCGAAATCAAAAATCTCCAAAAGCAAAAACTAACAAACGGAGATTATGATTACCATCTGTAAGCAAAAATCGTCAACCGTAAATTAGAAATCATACTGAATTAAAAGATGTTAAAACAAACAGTGTAATGGTTTGTTGAAAATTGTTAAAAACAACATCAAACTCTCGAAATCAAAATCTCCAAAAGCAAAAACTGACCGGAGATTATGATTACCGTCTGTAAGCAAAAATTGTTAAACGTAAGTTAGAAATCATATTGAATTAAAAGAGGTTAAAACAAAGTAACAAATCGTTAAAACAACATCAAATTCTCAAAATCAAAATCTCCAAAAGCAAAAAATACCAAATGTAGATTATGATTACCGTCTGTAAGGAAGATTAAACGTAAAGAGATTCAATAATCTGAATAGAGAAGCTTCTTCGTCGTCTTCATCTTCATTTTCGTTGAAATCACACGCAAACTACAGTCTACACCAGTTTGTATGTGTGAGTTATGAGTGTTGTGATGTTCTTGTGCAGAGGTTTTTACTGTTTTGGAGAAATATATTAATGGTGACTGTTGGTTTTACATAAATGCCCCTAGTTTTGGACATATCTTCATATCTAACCTTTTTACTTCACTTTGCGATACATCGAACGTGTGTATTTATTGTGTCGGATTCGGACAAATAAACGGACTTCATTGATTTAATTCGATTCTTATTCACTTTAAACCTTTTATTTAAAAGGCACCGAAAAGATACTCGCATAATATAACGAGATACAATTTAACTTAAATTATTATTATTTTTGTCTCAGTCGATATTATAATATGGTTTTAAGAAAACGATAATTGTTTTATTTTTGAATAAAATATAAATAAAAAGATATATCATAGAAAATTAAGAAAAAAAAATATTAATATTGGTATCAAGCTAGCTATTTAAAATTCTTTTTTTGTGTATTTCTTTAATTCATTTTTTTATTTTTGGTTTAATAATATAATTTTTTATAAAGATAGTAATTAAGTATTTTGTTATAACTCAATDATTATCCTAATTATATTTTARATTTTTTATATTTAAAATGAGWTGTTTATCCTCTATTTGATTATGTTTATCTGCGATTAGTTACACGAATTCAAACATAAAACTTTAATAAGTTGTACTTATGCACAATTTACTTGTAATCTTGAATTTTAAGTAATATGCATCAATAAACAGTACTTCATGCATAAAAATGATTTTTAGAGTTTTTGTCAAATGTTTTATAATATAATATAGATTTAATGTTTACACTTCTATTTAACAGAGGAATTACCCAAAATATAATTTTATATATGTACACCAATAACATGATCATTTTTTCGGAGATTTTTCACAAAATGACTACTAAAATCGCCTCTAGATGGCGATTTACGGATGGTTCTACATGTATACCATTTGGTAAACAAAAATCTGATATATATGAAAATCCCCATCATTTTATTCTGTCTTCTTGTGAAGACAACTTATAACACAGTGATTTGACACATCAATGACGATTTGACAAGACATCGAAACGATTTTTATTGGTATTTTGTTTTTATAAGACCAAATGTAGTATATGTATATTTAACCCGTCACTTTGAACATACAATAAACCATTATCACTTGTAAAGAGTTGTCCTTTGAGCTCTTAGCTCTTTTGGTACCGTCGGTATTGCTTCTTAATGTAATTTCGTATTTGTGTTAAGTGTTGTGATGGTAAATTGTGTTTAAGGGTTAAGGGTCGTGTGAGTATAAGTGTTTTGATCACTACAAATTTATAAAGAATACTACGAGATTTATATATATTATATTTAGTCGTAAAAAAAAGACAAAATACCAATGAAAATCGCATCTGATATCTCGTCAAATCATCACTGATGTGTCAAATCGTTCATCATAAGCTGTCTTCACTATAAAACGAAATAGAAGTAAAAGAAATCACGTTTTGAGGGCGATTTGCCCATTTTCAGATATAATATATGATTTTTGTCCCCCAAATGGTATACATATGAGACATATCCATACAATTTTCCCTCCCGGCGCGTTTTTGGTGGTCATTTTGTGGGGGGGGGGGGAATTGAAAAGTATTAATTTTATTAATATACAATGTATAAAATGGTTAATTCGTCTTTGAAAAAACTCTTGCAATTTATACAGATAAATTAATCCACATAATCAACTTTATTCCTATAGAATTTAATGAAAACCAACCAAACAGTCTCTCAACGTCAGGCTAATCCCATCAAATTGTGACTTTAAGACATCGATCATGATAAATTAGTCACGAATTCAAACCCATCTCCCGCACGATTCAAACTTGAATCTATTATATATTTGAACAAATTTGTTTCATCCCTTTACCAACTGTGCTACACGTTCAAAAGCATATATGATGCAAGGTCAACCGTTAAAAACAACAGTTGAATAAATTCGGTCCACCGTAATGTATGATTTGACGCAAAAAGGTTTGCACATAGAGACATCCAAATTATTAACAAAATTTATTGTATTTTTCATTAATAATCTTTTTTAAATGTAAATGCATTTTTGGTATATTTGTTTCATTTTATATATATATAAGTACTTTTTTGGTATATTTATTTCATTTTATAGATGTAAGTACTTTTTTGGTTTAAAAAATGTTACGGACTTAATCATTCAAAATATGAAAGTCTATTGACCTTTTTTAATATTTTTTCCCATTATTTTACCATATTAACCAATTTTATAGGTCATAATGATGTATTTAACAGGTTTTAGAAAGTTTAAGAAGTTATTTAACAGCTTTTGAAATATGCAAGAGCTTATTTGTTTCAAAAAATTGTTCAATAACTTAATCATTTCAAAACTAAAGGGTTGTTTGGCAATTACTGAATAGTTTGGTGTCGAATGATTAAGTGATTGGAATGATTAAGAATCTCTCATGATATGGTGCAAAACGAAATATAATTATCTGGTAAGTATTTACAATGAAATTATGATGCTGAATGGTTAAGGGAGACCTTGGATACAAAATCATTCAAAATGTTTTAGAACCATTAAGAGATAGACTTTTATTTTACCAAACAATATTCACCTCTTAACAATTCATAAACTGTCTTTTAATGAAACTATTAAGAAATAAACGAACAATTTTTAAGGTCCATTGATTTTTTTTTAACTTTTTCTTTTTGAAAATTATAAAACTTTAAACAAACAATTTTAAATCTAAATATTAAAAAATATATATATCAAAATTGAGGGGTGAAAACGAAAATTTTCAAATTTGAAAGGGAAGAATGCGCGGCATGACAATAAATGCACTCGACCGTAGGTATAAATATTTAAAACTTAGTTTTTCTTTTTTTGTATTTTCATGTTATTAATATCTAACCGTTTTTATTATAATTTGGTAGGGGAAAAAAGTTGATTATTATCAATCCTAAACGGTTTTACATATAATATGTGTAACAATCTGTTCCATATTAATAAAAAGTGAAAATTGTTAGCTTCTTATAAGTTTTAAGTAATTGATTACCAATAACTTACATCATGGTTTTAAGTTGGATTCAAAATCATTAGGTAAGTCCGTTGCTTTGGGCTTTGGGCTTTGGGTGTTACAAATGATATCAGGGCCGATTCTTGTATCATCGAGATGATGGGACAAACCTCATCGACTATGATGAGTCCTTGAAAGTGGTGTTTGTAACTTCTTAGGCGAATCTCACATTGTCAGTGACAAGGAGAAAGATTCTGGATAGGTCTAACGAGGACGTCAAGAGTTTAAGTAGAGGAGTTTGTAACAACTCGTCCCACATTGATAGAAAGTGAGAATTGTTAATTCCTTGTAAGTCCCAAGTAGTGGACTACCAATAACTTCCACCATAGTTTTAAGTTGCATTCGAAGTTAT